AGCTGCCCCGATGCTTTCCACAGCCCCAGCTCTGCTGGGAGCTCCTCACCCCTCTCCCGCCAGCATCGGGGCTGCTCTGGGGTGTCCCCTAGTCCCACGCAGGGAGGGAGGGAGGGCACCTCTCCTGGTGTCTGCAGGAGGCAGCTGCCCTGGGCGTCTGCAGGCAGGATCCCGGCTCACGGCGGCACGGCCGCGGGTGGGGGCCCGAGCAGCGCTTGCCAGCCCAGCAGCCTGCGCAACAGCTTGGCCCAGATGTCAGGCTGACGTCAAGGCTGGGGTCAGCCCGCTGGACCGGGAAGCGCTAACGTGGCTGCCGGCCCTGGGCAGGCACTGACCCCTGGCACCTCCCAGCACACATGTCCCCAGGCACTGAAGGTCACGGCAAGGCAGAGGGTTAAAAAAGAGGGGCTCACCCTAGCAGCACCTGAAAGAGCATCAAAACACAAGCTAACAGTGGCCAAAAGTGTGTAGCTAAAAAGCATCAGACTCCAAAACGTTGTGGGGGCACGCACAGAAGTGGCCTTGCTCTGTCATGGCAAACATTTTGGCCACCACTGTTGGATACCTGCGGCTTTTGGTGCTATGGGGGAAATTCAGCTAAAACAGCTTCTCCAGAGGTTCCACATCAGGTGTTTTCAGCCCTAAACTGATGGTTCTTCTTGTATTCAGCCCATGCCACAGGCTGCCAGCGGGACCTGGGCTCGTCCTATAGCTCCTGCCTCCAGTGTGGGAGGGACTACCGTGGGCCAGGAGGTTACAAAGATGGTCAGTGGCTGATCCAGAGGTCACACCAGGGTGCCACGGTCCCCTAACTGCCAGCCCAACACCCCCCATGCTTGTCCCATCCCTTGCTAGCCCTCCAGTGCTGCCCAGAGCATGCCTGGGAGCACGCACCGGGAACAGCCATCAAACCACTGGGCTTTGTGATCTGCCATCAAAATCCCACCAGATTTGGAGGATAAAGATGGTCCACCAGTGAGAACAGGCTGCTACTGTCCGTCACCCTTCCCAAGGGACAGGATGGAGCCTCGAGGCCAGGTCCTGGGGCAGGGCCAGCCCAGCCCTGCTGGGACATTCACCGAAGGAGCTGGTGGGGAGGGAGAGGGGCCCAGAGATACCCAGCAAAGTAGGTCCTATTGGTCATCTCTAGCACAGAGTGAAGGATGAGACCAGTGAGAACGTCAAAGACACTTCTGCATGGCAGGACCCACAGGACTGGAATCTGAATTGCATCTGAAATGCCCCTGCCCAGAGAGCCCAAGGGGAAGGGGAGCAGGGCCCCCAGGGCTGCAGTTAAGCCTTGCGGGCACCACAGCTTTGCCCTAACTCCTGGCCACTACTGCCAGCTTATGCATACACCAAAATATGGCTCTGGCCTCCCAGCTGTGCAGCCCGGCTTCCCCTCCGACGGAAAGGCTGCTGTGGGCAGAGGGTGTCCCAAGAGAGCTGGGGTGCCACGACCTGCCCCCGTCCCTCGACCACAGCAGGAGAAACATCTGGGCCTCCATCCCAGGTTCCAGATTTGGGCCACCAGAGCCATTAGCCGCTAAACAGTGCCATCTCCTGGCAAAGCCCTCAGCCACACTGTGGCCTGCAAGCGGCTGGACAGATGGAGAAGGTGCCTGAATCCAGCCTTATGCTCCTTTTGGGCTCGCAGGCACTGCAAATCCTGCACTGTCCCTCTGTGCTGTCCTCCGAGCCCCTGGGCAGCCACTGTGCCTCTCTGTGGGGTGATGCAGACCCTAGAGACGGGGGGTATTTAACTACCCCAGGGAGGCTTGCCGGAAGCACAGCATCTCCTTTCCACCAGCTTTGGGTGGCTGCGGTGCGCACAAGCAGGCAGCCTGGATGGGGCATAGCCTGGAGATGCTCAGCTGCTGCCCTAGCTGTGCACTTCACATCAGGGCTGCAAAATGGTCCAGACCCCTCGTGACTGGCCTGCCCGTCCCCCAGCGCTGTTGGCATCTCCCGCAGGGAGTTCAATAGCTTCCGACGGGGATCTGAGCACTCCAGAGCCAAATGCTGGTCACTCTGGAGGGAAACTTGCACTGCAGTAACCTCGCTTGGCTAATGGGTAAACTGAGGCACAGAGCAACCAGGTGTTAGGGACTCAGCCAGCATCAGAGAGGCATATGGGGCAGAGTGGCCAGCTACACCCACGACTTCTGTCCTGGACTGGTCCCCATCCTGGAGCCAGTTTCCCTTGTGGCCTCCACATAGCACTGTTTCACTCTGCTGTGCTGGTTCAGACAGAGAGAAAAGAGCAAAACCACTTCCCTGCCTCCACCTTGCACTTATGCCATCTGATAAATAAAATGGAAATAAATCCTCCTGCGTTTGCAGCAAATAGGTC